TTCTGCTCTGATGGTAGGAGCTGGTGTTCATTCAAGAAAGTGTATGTTCGTTCTCCTATGATGGATGTCAGAATCTTATACATCGTGGGAAGACAAGTAATCGGTCTATAGTATTATTATAATTATTATTATTATTATTATTATTATTATTATTTTAATGACATGTTTAGTCAAGTGCCAGGCCCTAACCCTAAATTGGGACAGTCAGGTTGTCCTGTAAAGGGACATCTTGTCATGTGACTTTGGTCATCATAAACCATGTTATAATTTGCAATTTTTCATCATTTGAGAAAGGTGCTGTGACAGCTCTAAAAGCGTGTAGTGCATAGTTTAATATTTTGATTGTGTTTAGGCATGCATTTTTATTTTACTAGAAATTATTCAATGGAATCGGAAGTAACATTTTTGCTTGTTTACATAGATACCATTAGTATTTCTGTAATCCCAGCACTCATTTGACAGTGTTCTTGATGATCAAATGTGGTTCTCTCTCTTGCAGGTAGTATGCTAGTGTCCTCATCATATGATGAAACTTTGGTCATCTGGGATGTTGAAAACTGTTGCCAGAAGTTTGCCCTTAAGGTATTCTTACTTTGTTTATCTAGACATTACTTACAGTAATTACTACAGTTGTGAAACTGGTAAAATCATAAAGTTTTCGAACCAGATTTACAAAGTTCTCTTAAGTTAAGATGCATTCTGAGTATTGCTTCCTAACAACAGCCTTCTATAGCAAACTTTTGCAACTCTGATGAAGGTGGACAGAGGCCACCAAAAATTCAGTAAAGAAAAATCAAAGATTGGATTACAAAGAAGTTTAAGAGAAAGCCTTCTATATTCTTGTAATATACAATCTAACCTAGAGGCTGAGGGGCTTGTGAGTCTAACGTCCTGAAGGAAAATTGAAACACTATTGTAATGTACTTAAAGGTGTTATAGGGATTTTTTTGTTCCATGATTCTGTTTTATGGTTATTTGTTGCAACTGATAGGGCTCAGATATGATTGGTCAGGGAGAGTATGGTGGTTGAATGTAGAGGAGCAATTATTAGAAGAGGATTTATTTTAAAATTGTCTTACCTTGAGGTATAAGACTATTTTATGTTCACTTTGATGATGATAATAATGAAAATTACTCACTTCAGTGTATGATGAGATAAAAGTGGTTCTCTTTATTTTTTAAATTGGTTTTGATTTTAGGGTCACACAGGCTGGGTAAATGACTGCAAACTCAGTGCTGATCAGAAATGGATAATCTCCTGCTCAAATGTCAGTATTAAGCCCTAAAATAATCACTACTTCGCTTAAATGCATAATTATTAATTAAAATTGATTCCCTAATACTAGTTAACAAAAAACCAGGACTTCTAAATTCCAAGTCAGTCTGGAAACAGTGGACAAAGAGCCTGTCTATGCATTATGGGATGTGCCACTGCAAATTCCTATTTATTATTATTTTATCAATTCTATTTAATGGTGAACAATTTAGAATCTACGAAGAGTCTAAGAATTTTAAGTTACCCTGAGAATTTAAAAAAACACACCCACAGTAAAAGGTAAGGTAAAGTCTGCATACAAGCCAGGTGGCCCATCAGGCTGGAGCTTATCAAGGTTTCTGTAGCATGAAGTGACTATGAGTATTTGTACTCCTCTCTGGATGGGATGCTAGGGATGCTAGCCCATCGCAGGGTTACCCCCTAGCATTAGATTCGCTGGTACCCATTTATACACTTGGGTGGAGAGAGGCACTGTGAGAGTTAAGTTTCTTGCCCTATAACACAACCTCATGCCCCTAGCCAAGGCTTGAACCTGGACCACTCAATCTGCATTCAAGCACACTAACCATGAGGCCATTACACCTCCCACATGCAGCTTTGAATGATTGCTAAAGATCTGATCCTGTGGTTAAACTGAATGTCTGACTTTACAAAACTAATTTAAATTGGTTTGTTTATACAAAAACTTTAGGACAAAACTGTCCGTATGTGGAACATAGAGTCAAGTGAAGATATACCGGTGGTGTTAGAACACAGAAAAAACATAGGACTGAGAATTGTGCAGGTTTGTTTTAGATGGCAGAGGACTTGTCCTTGTGTCTTTGTTGCATCATAATTAAAATCACGCAGGGTCACCCATATGAAAAGGATGGGGGTGCTCGTCGTATCTTTTACAGGTTAAAAAGCAGTTTTGTGACCTCTTTAGGATGTTCAGCCTTAAAAGGTCCACAGCAGGAGCTTTAGTGGTACCTTTTAGGGTATTGAACCGAAACAAATATGACAGGCGATAATGTGTTGTTTTCGAATTGGTACCTCTTGCGGGTGAAAACAATTTCAGGCCACACCCACAAAACAGAATCTTGTTACCTCCTAGGGGTTCTTTTCAAAATGACCAAAGAGCAGCCCCGTCCTTTTTAGGGGGAGTTCCGCCCACTGGGTTAAAATTTTCTAGTGCTTTTCAAAAGATGATTTTAATTTTCAAGTATTACAAGCGTAGGGAAGAAGTAGAATTTGAGGGCGAGGTTAAAAGATGAAGGACTCAATTTTCCCAACCCAATGTTCTCAGTACAACTAAACCAATTTTAATTACTTCCGGGGCCATTTGCCTTTAGTGAACACGTTGTAAGAAAGCATGCAATAAAATTAAAGCTATACCTCTATGCAAGAAACACAGAGTTACAATTGTAGCAAGAGCTGTTGATGCAATGGAGGTGTGAGTAAAGGAAAAGTTTTACTTCTGATAAACAAAATAAGCAAGTGATTTTCCTTTTCTATCTCAGTGTTTTTGACAATAAATAGGAAAACAATTTCTCTGTGTTTCTGTCGAGTTGTAGAGACACTAATGAAAGTTTAGGAGAGCTTGGAACAGCTGTGTTTACACTCATCTAGATCTGCAGCTTGTGTTCTCAACAACATTGCGTGCTCTCTCCCAAACTTCCACTTGTGTTTCACAACTCAACAAAAGCAACTCATAGTCTAGTGATGCAACATATTTCTAACTGTGTAGAGGCCCTGCTCAGCCAGAACTACATTAGGTATAACTACTGACACTGTTAGTAAATTTTACATCCAATTGTAAAAAATAGCTTTTAATGATTTTAACCTTACTTCACGAATCACTTGGTATTTCAGTGTCAAAACTGTAGCAAGCCTTTCTCAATTGCTCAGCTGGATGACGAGGTGAACCATAAGTACTGTGTTTTCTGTCGTCTGGAGCATCCCTCAGAATTCTCACCTTCGCCAATTGACTTTTGATGTTTGGTTTGCGATCACGAGTGAGCTACATGAATGCTTGTACTTACATGCTAAGCTATAAAGCGACAAGCCTCACCAGGTCACGGTTAAGAGGAATGTTAATTTCAAGCTATGCAGCCGTGGAAGGCGTTTGCTGGAAAGTTCTGATAGTGTGAAGAGTGACTGGTGAATCTTACTGAAATGTTATTTGGTAAAAGATCTGAAGACGTCGTGAAAAGTTTCTCCAAAATCCTGCAACCTTTCTTGAAATATGAAAGGGATGTGCTGATGTTGCTTGCTACTATTGTTCAGGCGCTGGTTGTTCAAAGTAGGATTATGCTAATCGAGGTTTAGTGTTGAAGGACTAATCGACCACGATTTTAGTTTCTTTTTGTCCTTTGCCTTTTTACTTTAACTCATCTCAACCTTTAGCATTGAAATTATATGCGGCAACAAATAAAACCTGTGTCAACTTTACCCCTTGCCTAATGTTTTTTAACGGCACGTATTTTGTGGGTTGAAACGACCTGTTTATTCGAATTTAAGCCGAACAAAAAAACGCCAACATAAAGGCTAACTGCAAGCAACCTAAGCTAATCTGGACTAACTGGAATGCTGTTCAGGCTAATCAATGTGCTAAGTAGACTCAATGGAACTTTAAAAGTCGATTTTTTAACTTGCAACCTGCGTAAAAAACCTGCCGGTTTTTTGTACTGAAATTGAACCAGCCCAGGGATTTAAGCTGTCGCCTGTGCGTTACTACATCAACGTCCTCACATCACGAGGCATCAGCCAGCAAGCAAATTTTCTCTATTGTATGGCGGCATATAGATGGCTTCTTCAGCTACATACCTAACTCTCGAGTTCTTATATTTAAACACGCCTTTGATGCACAGAATTCAACAGTGATATGCTATGTTAGTATAAAGACAGTGGGTCTTCAACTGGATTGTTAATTTAGTGTCTTCTACCAGTGTGAGTCTATTGAGTTGCACTGGAGGGCTGGCTTCGTTGGATTCGTTCGTCATGACCTCCAGCCAAAGATACCTCAGCAGGTCCGACCTTAGTCAGTCTGTAAGTATTTTGACTGCCTGGTATCCAGGCGTCTCTCCTTGGTTGGGGCGAGGTACACATAGAGTTGTTGGCCTGTTGTGCTCTGAAAACTCCACATACATTTTGCTGCCTAATCATCAAGCCCCACTCTCCGCACAGATACAAATTGAAGACGCTATGGAGGGGGCAGAATTGCTGATGTGTAAGGCGCAAGACGGCCTTTGTTGGACCGGGTTACGTTAAATGAAATAAATTGCCACCTGAAATAGCCCAGAATGTTCGTGGGATGATATTATTCAGGGACATTTTCTATATGCAGCAAATGTTTGGTCAGGCGCAATGTAATTGTAATTTAAAGTCTGATGAAATAAGTTTCCTTTGCTAGATGTTTCATTTACCCAACAACAATTTTCTCTCAAATGCTTTAAAACGCTGTTTCAGGCTCAGTCTGGATTAAAGCTCAGGCCATAATTGTTCGAAGGGTGGATACGCTATCCACCGGATAAATCGCTATCCAGTGGATAAGTGTTAATAAAACAAACCACGCTATTCGCTGGATAGTTATTTGTCCGATAGATAGCGTTATACACCCTTTGATCAACTGGGGCCCTGTAGTTTAATTTTAGGCTGCTCTGTAAAACGTTGATCTGTTCAGTCATCAGTTCTAGGAAAACTTGATTTTTCTCGGGTTTATTAGGACTTTTTTGTTCATTTCAAAATTCGCTATTGCCTTTCTCACATCATATCTGACCTTTTTCTTCCGTACCCTAAACGACAGTTTTATCAATTTGAAAACAACAGCCATTAAACTTATCATACCACGAAAGGTCGAGGTGTAAATTCTCTTATGAAAATCGTAGGAATTAAAGGCCTCGGTTCCGGACGGATAATTTACCGAAATGATCTGTTGGGTGCTCCTGCCATTTGTTTGGCTAGAAGACGGTATTCGAAATAACAACAGATGGTCAAAAAACAATGCATGACGTTATCAGTACTTCAGATTGCCCTCATTAGTGATAGTGAAAAAGGAAAACAACCTAAAACGCCGTGGAAGCACCCGTGATACATAAAAGGAGAGAAAGGAAAACATTTTAATGAATGAATGAATGAATGCTTTATTTAACGTGGATATAAGCTTAGCTTNTCACAAATTAAATACTGATTAAAACTATTCAAAACTGTTATAAAAATATTACCGCCGCAGTAATACTATTAAAACTAATGTCACAAATTTACTAATCCCCGAAATTTAGCGATCTAATTCAGTTTACTATTGTATTTCTTTTCCGTATTTCTAACTGCTTTCGTTATATTCCTATACCAACTCGTTGGACCATTTCTTTAATAATACGCTACCGGAATCATAATCTACCAGAATCATTAAATGACTATGTATTATGAACTAAGTTATGAAATTCGTTGTCATAATACGTCATTAGCATTGAAATATTGATTGAAATTGAAGTTAATAACTTATGTTCAAACTATTTGTACCAAACATAATATGCCAAACACATTTTAAAAATAATGGTCTAAATAACGGCCTAAGAAGCCACACGACAGTGTTTCAGATCTACCTCCATCTATCGTCAGTTGCTAATAAGTTCAATTTGAATATGGTAATCTACGACATTATAAATGGGTTTTTTTTTAGCAATTTTTACTAACTTTCATAAAGCAACATGAGCCGCCATGAAAATGAAAAAAAATTTACAGAGATTCTTTTTTAAAACATAAAGTCAAAGTCGCGACTACAATCATGGTGCTATTATAAGGATTTGTTGGGTATAAACAAGGTGCTGTTGCTCCTAAATGAACATGGGGACCCCTCATTTTTATTTTCAAAATTTAAGTTCCTATAATGTAAACAATCAACGGGCAAATTTTCACAAAAATCTCAGTGCAAGTTCTATTTCAGTGGAATGACCTTAAAACATAGAGTCAAACTTAAGTCACAAGAATGCACAGAAAAACTTTAACTCAAGACGGTTACACAACAGCAAGTTACAATAAAAGTACACTTAACTGGGGGTGCTCATTTAGTATTCAGAGCACATCGTAAAAAAAGTTCACTCTTTGTTGCCAACAGCTATTAAAGCGTAGAAAAATAATTTAAGAATTATTCTGATCGAAGTATAGAATCGGTATGACATACAGACACTCCATAAAATTAGTGTTTGAAGCATTTCCAGGAAGAACGCATTGAACAACTATAAAGTATATCAGGTCAAAAACATAAAAATTTGAAAACAAAACAACCAAGTTAACCAACAACAACAGCAACAACTTTATTAACGTGTCTAGGTAAAGTAGCCGAGGTTGAAAACCTCTACTAGTTGGGGACACTTTACAGCGTTAAAAGTTAAAATTAAGGATCTATTTACAACTTTTAAATATTAAAATAAAAAGTATGGGTCTGTATACAACATTTGGATGAGATAGGACTAACGTAATTATCACTAGACTATTCGTGGAAGTGTTTGCATTCATAACACTCAGAAATCATGAAAACGTTGGTGGCTTAGGACATCTTTGCCGCACTGAGACCATACCAAGAGAATATATATGTACCTTGATCAATACCGGGATATGTGATGTAAACTTCAAGGCTAGTAAAAACGAATCCTTTAAAAAAAAAACCACCTACTTACAATCTTATCTTCCAATACTATGTTACAATTGTAATCTTCAACTTGTCTGTAGTTCGTAGAGTAAACACGAAATGCACTATTGTGTTTGGCCGGGGAGAGCAATCTGACACCGAACGAGAATGTTGCCAAGTTTTATAAATTTACTCGGGAAGTGAACGTAACGGTAAAGAGGAAGGCGGTGGATCATTGCCCCTATCGTCGGCCACCTCAACTCTAACTGTTCGTGAAGTGCGGTAAGCACAAATCTAGCCAGGAATGAGAAAAATATGAAATCATGCTCGGCTATACTGTCCACGTCAACTGGAAATATCTCTTGCATGAACACAATACGAACAGCAGGAGAAAACTTGCACTCATTGCAACAGAAAGTTTCAAACTCAGCTCCTTTTTCCATGTCTCCTATTATGCAACAGACTGCAAGTAAATGATAGGTGAGTACCTTAAGAACTTTCTCGTAACAGGTATTATTCAGACGATCTACAGAACCTCTAAGAGACGAAATGCTTTGGTCAATTTCCCCCCATAGCAGCTGATGGACGCCAAGATGGAATAAACGCTTCCCTGGGCAGCTATCAGTGTCAAGGATACCAGCTTGCAGAGACTGGTCTAAGCTTTGACGGTTTACGTTAGAAAACAGTAAGCCCAACGACTTGGCGGCAAGTAGATTGTATTCATCGTCGCGACATTGCCTTTTCTTTGCCTCTTCTACTGTGGTAGAGTAAAATTTGTCGATTAATAACTGTCCAGGCAGTAGAGCAGACAAAAGCATCTCCGCCTCAGACAAAACTTCAACAACCCTAGGGTAGAGGGCATCTTTCTTTGCTCCATTTTCAAGGGAAATTAGGATGCTCTCCTGCTGACGAAAAAATATATGATCTGCGTCACAAGAATGACCGGTTAAAAATTTTTCATTTGCAACTCCCAAACTAAAGATGTGATAGTCGTAGAAACGAAGTTGAGCTGCATTGAAAATGGTTTGAACTGCGTGGTTAGCAGTTCTCCTTTCGTCGATGAAAGATCGCAAAAGTGAATGAATTGTGCAGGATTCAAAATCGTCGCTGCAGTCTATTAAAGACTTTCGTTCGAGTGAATGAATCACTTTCTTGGTCAGTCTGGCTGTCTTCAAATCCAAAACAGCCTTAGCTTCCTACACTCCAAAGAAACTCGGAAAAACAGCCAGCGAGACAAACGCATCCCTCTCTTGGCCAGTAAGTCTTTCAAAGGATCTGTTGATTATGGTCTTTAATCGAGCGTCATCAGGGAAACTTTCATCGTCCAAAACTTCAATAAGGGGCGAATCCTTCAGTTCTTCTAAGAGCTCAGAAAGTGAAACATTTTCTTCTTTCATGATGCCACACATCAATCGCATTGCCAAGGGAACTCTTCCGCATTCATTCACTATGCGATTGCAGTCATTGTCCGAGATAGGTTTCGACAGGGACTGCTCTACTAAGCTGACCGAGGATGATTCATCCAACATACCAACTCTTTCTTGATGGATAGGCAGCTTGTGACTCAGGTAGTCTGGCCGCTCACGAGTGGTGAAGAGAAGCTTGATGTGACCGCATTGGGCAAGAATTTCTTCCGTAAATCTTAGGAAGTCTTCTTTTAGTTTGGTATCTCCAGATTCCAATAAGTCGTCAGCATTATCCAAAATCAGGACAAACGTTTTCTCCCGTTGTTGTAAACACTGGATGAGCCAGTGGGAGGGTGAGACATGGAACGCCTGTTTAGCATCTGTGAATATACTTAAAAGCTTTGACACTAGTTCATCTTTACTTTTCATTCCGCGAAGAGATGTAAAATAGACAGGAATCTTCATCTCTCGCAAGTGATGTGCCACATTGATAGCCAATGACGTCTTTCCAAATCCTGGTGGACCCCAGATATCAACCAGTCGAGTGTCTCCATTTTTTAATCGGTCGAGGACTGCTCCACACTCTCCTTGGCGACCGACAAAGTACGGTATCTTGTCTGGTATGCATGAGTCAGGAACTAATAGACCTTTCAATAAAAATAATTAAATTAAAAGAGGCCCTATGTCAGAGATATACTTGAAGACAATGATTATGTTGTAACATCGATCCTGCAACTTGTCTGTTACCGAGGGGGCTGTTCAGTGTAAGGAATATTACCTTATTAAACACCAGTCGTAACTAATCGATGAATCAATAAAATGAACGAGTAATCAATGGGTAGTCGATGGGTAGGTTAAGTCTGCATGTGAGTTAAGTGGCCCATCAGCTCGGAGCTTATCCCGGTTTCTGTAGCATGAAGCGACTAGGAGTATTTCTACTCCCCCCTGGATGAGACGCTAGTCCATCGCAGGGTTACCCCCAGCATTAAGTTCGTTGGTACCCTTTTATACACCTGGGTGGAGAGAAGCACTGTGAGAGAAAGTGTCTTGCCCAAGACCACAACACAATGTCCCCGGCCAAGGCTCAAACCCAGACCGCTAGATCTGGAGACGACCGCACTAACCATGAGGCCACCGCGCCTCCCTCGAAGCGTAAGTAATTGATGGGTAATCAGTTGATTATTCATTGATTATTGCCAATGATCAATGAGTAATCGATGAATAATCGATGGGCCACAAAATTTCAGCCATCAATTAGACATTGATTGCATCGATTAGTTATCGATGACATTGATTAGTCATCCATATAATCTGTGGCCACACAAACCATCTTCCACATGCCGTTTTGTTCTTCTCATAGTAATAAATTTGAGGCATTATATATATGTGTAATCACGAGCAATCGATGAGTTATCATAAGATAAAAAGCATCAATGAATGATAGATGACATCAACATGACATCGTGTTGGTCATCGATTACTCATCGATGTCATCGAGCAACGATCGATTAGTTACGTCTGAGTAACAGGAGCAGTTATTACAGGTTGGGTTGGAGATAGAACACAATTTTTACACGCTTTGACCACTACACCGACTTTCCTTGACAGCATTTCTTCCGATGCGGACGTTCAATGGAATGTTGGTACAGACTTCTCATGGGTGGTACTGATATTGTTTCTGACGATCGTCAAGTTGGCGTCTCGCATAATTAGAGGAATCAACTATTTTTCTTGGGACGCCGCAGTAAAGTCAAGCTAACAGGTGGGTATTCTGAGGTCCTAGAAACACCCGAAAAACTTTCCTTTCCTTAAGTCACCAAACAAAGGATAACTACATACTTTCTTGGGGTACACGTACTCGACAAATTAGAAATCACTTTGACTTAAAATACCTTCTGAACTCCCCGCTTGCATTGCCTCTTTTATGTCATCAACGCGTGCATTCAATTCCGTCAAGTCTGACCCGACTTCCTTCACTTGTGTCTTCACATCTGTTAGTTCAGTTTTCACGTCTGACCCCACATCTTCCACTTGTGTCTTCACATCTGCTAGTTCAGTTTTCACTTCTTTCACTTCCGAACAGACATCTTGCATTTGTGTCTTCATATCTGTTAGTTCCGTTTTTACATTTTTTTACGCCTGACCCCACATCTTCCACTTGTGTCTTGACTGTTGTTACACAAGTTTTTACTTCTTTCACGTCTGACCCGACATCATCCACCCTTGACTCGATCTTAGTAAGATGATCGTCGATCTGTTTAAACTTGATGGCAGCATTTTTTTCTTTCTTTAACTTGTCTTCCAATTGTTGAAGTCTTGTTGTGGGAAAGTGGTCTTCGTCAAGCTTTCCAATCTCATCAATCTTAGTGGTGTTTTGTCCAAGTGTAGTAAAAGCATCCTTTGTCAGCTGTATATAATTATCAAAGGTGGCCTTGTCAATCTTTTGTGTACTGATCTGGTGACAAAGCGTGTTTCGTAGCAAGCGAAGCTGATCCAAAGCTAACGCATACGTCTCCACATGATCTCCAGTAGGGCTGACAAGCGAGTGATGGAATGTCCCGGGTGATAAAGCACGTGGCTTCACATACAGTTTGTCCAACGTGCTGACGCCTCCAGTCCCGTCTGGCATGGCAAAAGTTTGAGCAAAGAGAGTGGCTTTGAATAAAGCTGTACAGTCCCACTCCTTGTAGGATTTGTTCAGAGTTGGTACTTTCTTCACACCACCCTCTTTTGCATGTAACAAGTTTAGTACCGTTACAGAGTCATCCCATTTTGGGACGCCTGGTGAAGTAGCGACCTGGTTGTCCCACATGGAAACAAAGACTTGACGCAGGACAACTGGGAAGTTATCTAGCACAACAGTGGAAAACTTGAAAAAGTTCAGTTGTTCAGCAGAAAACGTCATTGTCAGGCGTCCGGAGTGTCTCCAAGATCCTCAGTTAATGATACTGGGTGGCACATTAAAATTCGAATAGACTTTTTTGAAACAGTTTAGTTGAAGCTTAAGTCAGCGCATCTGCAAAGGAAACACGTCTTTTTTAGGAGATTTAGCATAGCGGCAAACTTCATTACGAGGTGACAACACCACTTACTGGATCTCTGTTTTAATTTAGCTTTAATACAATCTGAAGTGTGTTGTCGTTTGCTAATAATATTAGTGATCACCAGAAAATTAGAATTGTAGTACAATTGAGAATTTTAAAAAACGAACGCCCGATAACAGGTTATATGTTATACATGTATAAGGCATTGCGTAAATAATAGCTTCTTAACGCGACTTGGAGTACTGCTATTCCTTCCTGGAGGGGATCCTAGTCCATCAGAGGTTAACCCCCAGCATTCCTGACATATCTTGGTTGGCTCAATACCCTTTTTCTGTTTCCGAATTACAGATTTGCACAGATAACTTACAACAGCACAAAAGCATAGCTCAGACATTTTCAACCATTCCCCCCCCCCCCCTTTCTTCTTTTGCTTGCTGAAAATTCTCTATTGCCCGGGTGGGAGGGGGGGGTGGAGGAGCTTAGAATTGACAAAGCCACGTGTAAGCGTTTTGTCCCAAATACACGATTTAGTGTATCAAAATGTCTCAAGTTTTCCTCTGATTTTCCAAACTCGGGCAAAGTAAGAATGAAGTTGCACTTTCCTTCCTATCCAGGAGATCTGACAACTTGTTTGAGAGGCAAGGAGAATTTTAACTGTTATGCTTCTCCTAGCCTACAAGCTGACTCTTCACGGGGAAAGAGCCTGGCTACACTTCCGCATACAATGAATGTATCTGCATGTAGTAGGTAAACAATTATGTCACTCGTCACGCCACAAAGCAAAGTCACGACAACTTTGTGGAGAGGAAAGCAATAAATATGAAATATCCTCTTCAGAAAGGAATTAAAAAATCGGTGCCCTTCGTTTGCATTGTAATTAATAATTGTTATTCCGTGGGTTTGATTACGTTCTAGAAACTTCGATTGCGTTGCGAGGTGTAAAAGGGCGTTCCCCGATTGTTTCAAATAGTGGAAGCGGGAGAGAAACTATAACATTTTCTGAGAGGATTACTATGACAAAACCAGTGAGTTCCAGGAAAAAAAAACAATAAAAGTGAAGTAACTGTTCCTTCCTTAAGAAACCCTAGACTGTAAAACACTATTATACTTCGATTTTGACAGCGAAACAGATATTAAAATATTTGCTGGCAATCACTGCATGGTGCGTGAGGCGAAGCACAGGCAAAGATTCCAGTGCTCCTGCTTTCAAAACCCCTAAGTCTTCATTCATAGAATAATAACGGACTTAAGAGCCTTCTCTCCTCGAAGAATAAGGCAATGATATCTACAACAAAACTCAAATTAAAAACTATGTTATAAACTTTGTACAGCCTATTACGTTTACGTTCGATCTGGCTTATTAGGGTGATTTAGCAAGAGAACGGGAACGTCACTTGACGACGGCGCACGCAGAACAAACACCCAAATATGGTCAAATTAGAACAGAATCCAGGTTATTTCGCGCGCCCTGCAGTCGTCATCTGACCATATTTGCGTATTTGTACTGCGCGCGTCGTCGTCAAGTGACGTTCCGTTCTCTTGCTAAATCAGCCTATTTTCATGCGACGCGACGATCTTAATTTATGCTGTATATTAGCAAATGAGTAAGCCTCCAATCGAAAGCAGCGGTCAGATAAAAAAACAACACAAAACTTGAAATAATTCGTGTTTTACCTACCGATTCACCTACTATAGTAACTTCCGTCTTTGCTGCATTTTGTTCGACATCGCGTGATCTCTGCACGGATGCACTCATCCCCAGACCCCTAAAACGCTGAGCGGGTGCGCGAGGGAAGATTGGATGCACGCGCGAGCCAATCGCGCGCTCGGAGATGTGTATTACTGGGGAATTTAGAAATCCTGGAATTTAAAAGTGCTTTCCAGTAATTCTTTCCTGATTGCGAGGGATTAAGCCAAGGTCGACTTTTAACTTTGAACTTATGTACATGCATCATTATATTAAATGCATCAACTGATCAAGTCAAAGAAAAAGACATTATGACTGTGATGGCAGTTGGAAATGTGCTCTTTTTTTATCATGGATTTTTACATTTCCTTTTGAAAAAAAAATGTTTAGAAAATTGAATTGACAAAATATCTCAACCACTGGAGACAGTATTTCATCACAGTTCCAAACACCACAGAGATACCCTGCTGCCTTTTATATGATCAACTCTCTTCTGAGTGTCTGGGCATGTCACAGTTGATATATTACAAGTTCACTGATGCAAACGTTCCATTTGTCTGATTGTTGATTACTTTTCAAATTAACAAACAAATGGATGTTAAAAAGAATGATACTAAAAGGAAAGGATCTCTAATGTGGTATTTATTTGTTCTTACTCATTTCAGTTCAGCAGCTACTGAATCATTTGTAAACTTTAATTTCACTTAGTTGCTGTGTACAGCTACATATTTTTCAAACTTGACATTGTTTCCAAAACAGTTTCATCATTTATATATTCTTTTACAGAAGACATCAGCATCCTTGGTGAGGTCTGCCAACATTATAAACATGTCTTTATTTAGAGTACAAGTAGTCCCTCTTTCTCTTAGGCTGTTATGTGTGATGCGAAAGAAAGCTGCAAGAAAAAAATGGCCACGCGAAATCCTAGGGGTGAGACGCACTTCTTGCCCCCAGGATTTCACATGGCCATTTTTTCGCGCAGTTTTCTTTCATGTCATGCATGACAAACCAAGGGAAAGAGGTACTACTTGTAGTCTAGTCTTTATTGCGCCGTGTATTTTGTAATCTAAATTTCACTGCATGAACCAATGTACCCATGTAGGGTACAGGAGTGAATAGATCACCTCTGAATGAATTGACCTTTTTACTATATAATTTTTGCATAGAGTTTAAATTACAATCAGGTTGCAAACCTGAAGAGGAACAAAGAGTTAATCAGGGTTATCCACCATTCAGAAGTAATCAAAGTGCTCCACTTTTTGCATATCCAGTTTAGCCCATGTCTTAAATGTTGCATTATTTGATTAGTTTTTAATACTGCTTAATAAAGAAGAACAGAAATGGCAATTTGTTGTTTTATAATTTAATCTATACATCTTCACTACCCTTCCAGATTCACACTCCTACACTACTTCTTCTGTTGTTTCCATGTAGCTGAAGTTGAAAGAAGTCCTTTAGTTGCTGTGCATTGGCATTTCCCACCACAGTAGCCAGAGACTAAAATTAAAACAAATTAACAAGCTAAGTCTTCATCTAGTAATACTGTAGTTATGAAAACATCTGAAAGTTACACTGTGACTACTCAAACCTAGGTCACCCAACAAAATTCTCTACAGAATAATGAATGAAAACTTTGAATGTTCCCAAGAGATTTCCCACAAATTACCACTCTGACCAAGCGGCACATCGTTATTTTGACCATTTTTATAATTTTAACGGGCAAACGCTATTTGTCAATTTGCAAAACAATCACTTGGATGGCTACGGTTGGCGTAGCTGCACTGTAAGTTTCAATGTTTTGCTCAACAAATGACTCCAGAATTGTTCTACATGTATATGGACTGTGTATAGTATTATTTATAACAAATTAAATTGACAACAGTCATTATTAATGGCAAAGGTAAATGCATCATTTCAATTATTAAAATGTTGCATCACATGTACTCCAGGTGTATACTGGGCTGAATGCAGCACCTTGGTGATTATTTGGCTTAGACTAGTACAGACTATAAGGTGAGAAAGTGCAAAGTGTAGTCTGTTCTTAGTCATAGCATATACAGGCATCATGCAATAATCCTACAAGACACTCTCTTCTTTGCTGAGGCCAATGACTTATGACAGTTTGTCAAGGTAGTGAAATCTGTACCATAAAAAAATTAACCAAATAGATTACTTACAGCAACTGAAGCCTTACTGATTTGTTCAATACCTAAAAGAAAATAGTAGATTTAAGATGAATTTTACCACAATATCAAATTATATCCAATATCTTAATAATAAGCATATGGATTCACTAGGTTTCCTTGTGTTCTGTTCTTGTTCTTTAGGTCGGGTGGCGATGAAACATAACCCCTTCCACTCCTGTACACACATTGAGTACATTCCTTTTAGGTTTGCAGAAAATGGGCTATTTCCGAGTAACCTCTTACCACTGTGAGAATACTAGCCTCCTACACAGACAGATGCTCTTTGGGCTGACACCACACAATCTTCCTCCCCTACCAATGGCATGAGTCCGAAGAAAGTCTGCATAGGAGGCTGTGTTAGTACAAGTTTTCATGGGAAGCCATTCATACATGTATGAAAATGTATTTCATCTTTGCATTCATTTTCAAGCAAATCAAACTCAATTTCATGCGCAATGTTTTGACCGAAGACTCAGAAACAAACTATTGTCTCATAAAACAATTACCACATAAAACAACACCATGTTGAGTTTATATAACAATGGTGAATAGCTATAATAACCTACTTACTATTAAACTTGGATAACAGAGCCATTGCTTTTTTCTGTCCTAATCCTGGCACAGTCTGTAGAGTTGTGAGAACAGCTTGGTCTGTAGGTTGTGGTTTCATTTTGATGCGGTAAGGGTTACTTTGGGGCTTGCTCTCCAACAAGACCTGGTATGAATTTTTGAATTCATGTAACAGTGATACCAATAAATTATAATACTGTTTTATGCCTGGGGGTTTTAAAAAGGGACAGGCACCGGGCAAACTAACTGGCTGTGAGGACGATTTTGCTTGCCTGGTTTGACCATCTTGAAGGAGGTTTTTTTCTGAAAAGAAGTTCAGTCCCATTTCAAAAAGTTTTGCATGTGTGTGTAAAACAATTGCCTTCCTGCTGAAAACCTTAATGAAACCCCTGCAGTTATGCCAAATGATAATTGTTTTAAGTTATAAATCACATAAATCTGCATAAAATCATCAAAGTGTTTCTATTGGCTCAGTGACATGTTTATCAACATTAACATAATGCACATATATCATAAAATTACATGGGCAATATACATTGTATATCACTCATTATATCACGCACATTATTAGGTCAATTCCTTTAGTTAGGCTAACACTGCTCTGTGGATAGAACCCTTAAGTTAGTATATTAGCTAAAGGTGCTTCAAAANGGAAGCCATTGATACATGTATGAAAATGTCTTTCATCTTTGCATTCATTTTCAAGCAAATCAAACTCAATTTCACGCGCAATGTTTTGACCGAAGACTCAGAAACAAACTATTGTCTCATTAAACAATTACCACATAAAACAACAACATGTTGAGTTTATATAACAATGGTGAATAGCTATAATAACCTACTTACTATTAAACTTGGATAACAGAGCCATTGCTTTTTTCTGTCCTAATCCTGGCACAGTCTGTAGAGTTGTGAGAACAGCTTGGTCTATAGGTTGTGGTTTCATTTTGATGCGGTAAGGGTTACTCTGGGGCTTGCTCTCCAACAAGACCTGGTATGAATTATAGAATTCATGTAACAGTGAAACCAATAAATTATAATACTGTCTTATACTCAGGGGTTTCAAAAAGGGACAGTCATCCAGGGGCGTAGCCAGGATTTTTCAAAGGGGGGTCACACTGTGTCAATGTGAGGTACTCACCAGATTGGCATATTGTTTTCGCCACCTGTTGTAGGTTTTTTGCTTGAAAAAGGCTTACAAAAGGGGGGTAACGGGCACCCCAAGACCCGTCCTAGCTGCACCCCTGGCACCAGGCAGGAGGCTGGCTGTGAGGACGATTTTGCTTGCCTGGTTTGACCATCTTGAGGGAAGTTTTCTTCTGAAAAGAAGTTCAGTTAAAAAAGTTTTGTGTGTGTGTGAAAAACAATTGCCTTCCCGTTCTCCAAATGATAATTATTTTAAGTTATAAATCACATAAATCTGTATAAAATCATCAAAGTGTTTCTGCTGGTTCAGTGACATGTTTATCAACATTAACATAATGCACATATATCATAAAATTACATGGGCAATATACATTGTATATCACACATTATATCACACACATTATTAGGTCAATTCCTTTTAGTTAGGCTAACAATGCTCTGTGGATAGAACCCTTAGTATATCAACTAAAGGTGCTTCAAAAAAAGACACCTCTTGCAGACAGTAAAATAACTTTCTGAAACATTACCCCTTGAAGTAGGAAAACTTTTAAAACTGTTATCACTTGACAGTGTGACATTCCATGCATGTTCCATATTGATCATGGGGTAAAAGTAAAGAAGAGCCCC